GGTTTATGTTATTACGCATGCTGGATATAGATTTAATTAAGTTATATCTGCTTGGTTTCCTATTTGAAAAATATACTGTGCTGGATTTTCTTTCAAAATAAGTGAATCAAAATACCTGTTTTATAAAAATTGTTCCTCCAGTGCCATGGCCATGCCATTCAGTGATTGGCATTTGAATAATCTGTTTTTCTTGGTGCACGTTATATCAGTGAAGCAGTGGAACAGGGCAGGCTGCCCAAGTCTTTCACAAATGACATGCCAGTGAGACCCATTTTGAATTCCACTGCTCAGGATGCATTTGTTATAAAATGCTAGTAATTTTTGGTGCTGAGTGTTGCTATAGTTGCAGTTGTGTAGGGATGTACAGGTAAGGTAATGCTTCTATGTGCTATTTTTATTATAGTAAAGTAGCATAGCTGAAAAGAATAGATAAGTTTGCAAGTTCTTAAGGTCTGAAATAGATCCATAAAGATTTGAAGCTAAATATAAGCTACAGACAATCATTCTGTCCTCAGTTAGATATTGAGTCTGGAATGAGATGAATTTAGGAGTGGGAGTGATGCTAATGTTTACCTATACAGGAAAAAGAGAAACAGGCATAGACTGTGTCCCATTGGAGAGTTACTGGGAAGAAGAGAGGAAGGGAGGTCATGACTACCATAAAATTGCTTTATTGTTGAGCCTGATTTTCTGTTATCCAGCAAAGTTATAACCTGAGTTTCTATGCTTGCTTTTAGAAAGAAGGAGGGGACAAAGGGCCTTGTTGGTTAGGCTGACTTTACATCTTGCCCAGGGCTACCTTTAAAGCAGAATTACACGTATCTGCACAGCACAATGTTTTGCCTTAGTCTCAGACAGTGTCAGAATAGGTTGCAAAGACTTACAGTTTAAGGGATTTCCCCTCACTTCCAGTTTAAGCTGTTGAAAATGATGGGGCTGTGCTGCATTGCATCCTTCAGGATGTGCAGTGAAGGCAGCTGGGAATGCTCCTCTGTGTCCAGGACTAGAACTGCAGTTAAGAGTTAGTGAGGCTGAGTAATATCAATCACATAAGCCAGAAATCAGTATGAACAACTCTTCTTATAAAGCACCAGCCCAATGGGAGAGGTGCTTGCAGTTGCACCATCCCTTGGTATTGCTTGAGAAAATGTAAAGAGACTGGAGAATTTCTTGTAAGATAGTGCTGTTCAAATTCCAGAAAAAACTTCTAGGAGGTTGCTGACAGTGGAGAGCAAGTTCTTTGCAACATATGGTTCTACCAGCCATTTGTCTCTCCTAATCTGCATAAACATAATACCCCCGTAGTCCATTCTTTGTGTCCATATAAAATGCTGGGGTCTCCAAAAATCATGAATACATTTAGTTTGATTATCATTGTCACTAACTTGGCTACCTCTGTTAACCACGGATATAATTATTCTGTTCTTTTCATGCTGCTGGGTTGGATTATAAACTGTCGTTATTCATGGGAGCCATTATTAACCTCACAAATCATAAATTGCCATGTATAGGATAGCATTTGTGAATCACTCTAGCAGAGTACTTTTTACAGTTTCTTATTAATGAACTGCTGTGATAAAGCCAGGCCCTGTGTGCCTGATCTAACCATTTTACATCTTCAGTATTCACTCTTACTTGCTGTCAGATTCCAGGTATTTTTCAGATAATAAGAACTTGTCCAATTGTTGTCTTGTATGT